TATTGCAGCGGCTTACAAAGCAGAAATTGATCTGATCAGAGCAACTGACGATGGCAGAAGCTGGAACTTTGTGCTATAAGCATTTAATGTATTTTTAATCTTTTGTTGGAAGCCGCCCAGAGCAGCTGGGGAAACCCAGTCAGATGGGTGGGGTAGAAATAAATTATTATTATTATTATTATTATTATTATTATTATTATTATTATTATGGCTGGTAAAGTCAAGATGGGCCAAAGCTGGCAAACCAGCCAAAGTTTATAGAAAGCTGACACTCAGATGGACATTTGGAGACTCAGATTGAAACCCCCTAATATAGGATTCCCTTGCCCCCCCAAAAAAAACCTCCAGATCTAACAGGGGTTTGCTCCTTCCCATCCTCACCTGTTTTGTGAAATTCAGGAACTCTTCAGCAATTTGCTGCCTCTGTTCATTGCTCCTGTTGGTCAGTAGGTCAATGACGGTTACATATTCGACACCTGCCACAATGGATAGCAAATTTAGAGGCTAACCACTAAACCGTGGTTCACTGTATGTGTTTATTATTATTATTATTAATTTCTATTTTGTCACTGAAATAGATATATGTGGTTTTAGTGACTAACTTCATCCTACCAGCTTATCTGGAGTGGTTTGATGCTTTTTAAAAATCTCTATCTCTCTATCCCCCTATCCACCAGTGTAAGAGTTAGAGATGGTTAGAGTGTTGGACTAGGACCCAGGAGACACCAAGGTTCAAATCCTGCACTTGGCCATCAAGCTCATTGCGTGCCACTTTTGGCCACCTGCTCACAAGGAGGTGGGGAGAACCATGAACACAAAATGTGAGATGTAAATGCAAAAAGAAAAATGCTATTTGTCTTTTAAACAGAGGTTCGAGGGCTCTTTGGGAAGACCCAGCCTGTCCTCGGTTTCCCCATCGATGATCCTTGCTCAAGCTGAGTTGTTGCTGGCTAGCGTTGACCTAATTTCCTTTGGCATGAACCACTTTGCAACATCGCGTTGAGGCGAAGCGAACAATCGCCCCTGAACTTTCTGAGGACACTGTGGGATGTTGATCGCTCTGGGTTTTGATCCTTGCCACTGTCTTGGTGCTGCTGCTAACTCCTGTCCTCAGTCTTCTGCCTGCGGAAGGGAACAATCTTCCCAGCCCACAGAATGAGGCCGTTGTACAGACGCATACCCTCCAACATTTCTCAGATTGAAATAGGGGCGTCCCATTCCATAATGATATTTTTTCCTATTTATACCTCCACACATCTTACTGGGTTGCCCCAGCCACTCTGGACAGCTTCCAGCATATATAAAAACATAAGATAACATAAAAAACTTTCCTATACAGGATTGCCTTTGGCTCGGGGGTTGGATAACTCCATACCCTCCAACATTTCTCCAATGAAAATACGGACATTCAAGAACCTTTTAATGAGGGTGAAAGAGGAGAGCGCAAAATATGGTCTGAAACTCAACATCAAAAAAACTAAGATCATGGCCACTGGTCCCATTACCTCCTGGCAAATAGAAGGGGAAGAAATGGAGGCAGTGAGAGATTTTACTTTCTTGGGCGCCATGATCACTGCAGATGGTAACAGCAGTCATGAAAATAAAAGACACCTGCTTCTTGGGAGAAAAGCAATGACAAACCTAGACAGCATCTTAAAAAGCAGAGACATCACCTTGCCAACAAAGGTCCGTCTAGTTCAAGCTATGGTTTTCCCAGTAGTGATGTATGGAAGTGAGAGCTGGACCATAAGGAAGGCTGATTGCCGAAGAATTGATGCTTTTGAATTCTGGTGCTGGAGGAGACTCTTGAGAGTCCCATGGACTGCAAGAAGATCAGACCTCTCCATTCTGAAGGAAATCAGCCCTGAGTGCTCACTGGAAGGACAGATCCTGAAGCTGAGGCTCCAAGACTTTGGCCACCTCATGAGAAGAGAAGACTCCCTGGAAAAGACCCTGATGTTGGGAAAGATGGAGGGCGCAAGGAGAAGGGGACGACGGAGGACGAGATGGTGGGACAGTGTTCTTGAAGCTACCAGCATGAGTTTGACCAAACTGCGGGAGGCAGTGGAAGACAGGAGGGCCTGGCGTGCTCTGTCCAGGGGGTCACGAAGAGGCGGACACGACTAAACAACTAAACAACAACAAGGAAAAGCAGGACATTCCAGGATCAAATCAGAAACTTGTATGGCTTCTCTAAATCAGGGATGTCCCTGGAATATAGGGACACTTAGAGGGTTTGCAGATGCCTTAAAATTGGGTTCCTCCAATTTTCAATTGTGCATTCACAATAACCGGGGTTCGTGATTACGGTATTGAGGCAGTTTTCCATGATCCTGCCTGCAACAGTTTTGGGGCATCCATCGTATTTATTTTCCAATCAGTGCTTGCCCCTTATCCTCCTGCCGAAATCCCACAACCTTCCATACGACAAATGTTCCAGGTGTGTTAGCAACAGTAGAAGAATGGCAGATGAAGATGTTGGCGTTTTTGGAGCTTGCAGACCTGACTGGGAGAATCCGCGATCGGAAAGAACAGGAACACCAAGAAGATTGGAAGAAATTTAAAGACTATAAATATTGTAATATAAGATAATAAGAAAATACCTGAAAGTACCAAACAGGCCTAGGATTAGAATAAGAATGTTGTTTATTATTATGGATCTAAGTCAATAAGAAAAGAGATGAAGATAGTAGATTGAAGGAGTTAATTGGAGTAGAAAGATGATTTTGGAGAACTGTTATAAGGTGATACAATGAATTCAGTTAGAGGGATATTGAGGAAGTCAGTTAATAATGAAATTTAAAATGAACTTTAGAAAGAATATGTGTTTTTAGTTTCATTTCTTCTTCTTTTTTCTTGTAGTATTGTAGTGTGTTTTCTTTTGTATGTTTTATATGTTTTATCTGTTAAAAACAATAAATTTTTTTGGAAAAAATATATGTTCCAGGTTTTTATTTCCCTTCTACTTTTGCCGAGCTGCGCCGCAAAAGTGCTCCGCTATGGATGGCAGTAACAGGGTAACATTGTGGAAGCATCGCAGAGCAAATACAAAAGAGGATTGCTGTGTGGATGGCTCAGTATCGATCCACCGCTAATGTGCTATTATTTGTGTCAATGGTGCGTTGCAGAACACGCCTGGAGGAAGCGAGAGAACTGCGCTTTCCGTTTGGCACCCATCTGTCTCGGGAGACAACAGCGGAGTGTGCCTTTGGGGCTGAAATAAAACCTTTGGAGAGTTACAGCGCCTGCTGTGTCTGTAGAGACCGATACAGGAGAGACATGTTTTGTTGCAGCCGGGGCAGATAAAGGCGTCCGGTTGTTTCTTCTCCCTGCGGTCATCCCAGTGGTCATTCCTCCTCTGGTCACTGCTGTCTGTCTCCAGGCACTGCGGTCGTCTGCAAGGGATTCCCACACAGCAAGGTTTATTCTGCCAGCCTTCATGTCTCACCTGCAGACGCCACATGCTGGGAATGTGACATTTGGCAAGAGCGCATCTTTGTTTGAGACTCTGTCCTGCCATGTGACGCCCCAATTCCTCCTGGCGCATTTTGAAGACGTTGAGGCGCTGCTGCTGAAAGCTGTAAGTTGCCCATGACTCACTTCCATGTCGTTTTTCGGAAAAAAAGAAGGAATTGACTAATATTGCATATTCTCTTTGGCAAGATTTTTCTTTAGACAAGCCTGCCCAGCGATGTAAAACGTTGGTGTGCATTTTCCTGCGTACCACCGATTTTAACTTTTTAAAGAACACGTTTTAAATAGTTGTTCTTAACCGTTTCTCTCTCTCTCTCTTTTTAAAAAAGATGATCTTTATTGATTTTTTAAATTACATACTATACATACACATATTACAGTAGTACCTCAGGTTAAGTACTTAATTTGTTCTGGAGGTCCATTCTTAACCTGAAACTGTTCTTAACCTGAAGCACCACTTTAGCTAATGGGGCCTCTAGCTGCTGCTGCGCCGCCGGAGCACAATTTCTGTTCTCATCCTGAAGCAAAGTTCTTAACCTGAAGCACTATTTCTGGCTTAGCGAAGTCTGTAACCTGAAGCATATGTAACCTGAAGCATATGTAACCTGAGGTACCACTGTACATTATATTTTACATTTGTTCTTGCTCTCCCGAGGTGACTTCCCTCCTTTCTCCTTCCAGCTTTTTCGTGTCAACTTTAACTTTTCGTGTTGTCTTTATCCATTTTGTATATAGTTCTTCTTCTTCATTTTCTGTCCATGAAATGTCTGTAAACAAATAAATCTTTCTATATGTACAATTCTTATTGTCTGTCTATATTCATTTACAAATACTGTTCAACAACGGTCATAATATGTTCTTAACCGTTTCTCACTGATCATTTTAATAGGGCAGCTGTATTCCAAAAAAGGGAAAATTCGGACACCAAAAAAGTTGCTTTTTCAGTTTTGCCCAAAGTTGTTGTTGAGCTTTCTAAGGAAATTTGCCAAAATCTACACTTCCGCCATAGGTTGCCATACATCCGGATTTTCCCAGACATTAGGTGATTTCCGCCGGGACACTGTTTCCGACAGCCAAATCCTCGTTATGTCCGGATGTATGGCAACCCTAATTTTAATTCTTCCCATAAGCAGCTTTTAGGTTGGTTGGTTGGTTTTCCCAGTCCAGCAGTGCCTGCATTTCGTGAAATAAGTAAATAAACACAACTTCTTCCGAGGCTGATCTCCTATTTGGGGACTTCCCTAGCTTTTTGCTTTTTTCTGGCCCATGTAGGACCAGCCTAGATAGTTAGCCTTTGGTGAAGACTTGACGTTTTCATCCCAAAAAAGTTTTTTATTTGAGTTTCTACTGAAATGAGGCTGCATTTTAATGTTGTATTTTAATCTTGTTTTTAAGTTTAATCAATTGTTTTTATACCTGGTGTTAGCTGCCCTGAGCCCAGTCTTGGTTAGGGAGGGCAAGGGTATAAATAAAATTTATTATTATTATAATTCCACATTAGACACCCTTCCTGCCAATCACCTGTTCCCTCACCTGTCAGGTTTGGGCTCACATCTCAGAAGGACGTCACTTTTTATTCCTGATGCTCCAGTTCCTGGTTGCAGCCCCGCAAGGGATAGAAAGGAATTATGATACTTGGCAGCTTGCCTTGCGAAAGGCACAGACTTCTTGGCTTGAGAGCTACAGACCGGACTGGTTTTTCCTTCATCCACTTATCGCGGGCTGGTCGGCTGAGGCCCTCCCTCAGGGTGGTGGGTGGAGGTGACTTGTCACTGCCACCCGCTCACGTAGGACAAGGCACTAGCTGCTGTCCGGGAGAGAGACACAAAAAACAGCCAGGTACGTTCTTCAGACGTGGGGGGTTTTTTTGGGGGGGGGTCACATTTGGGAGTTGCCAACTTTTAAAGACCAGTCCCGCTCCTCTGCCTTTGTGATCTGCTTGATGCATAGAAGACTGGGAGGGTGAAGCTTTTACCCAAACTGCCTCCACTCTGGGAAAAGGTCTCACCTGCTTAATTCCTGCTGTTTAACATCATAGGGACGCGGGTAGCGCTGTGGGTTAAACCACAGAGCTTAGGGACTTGCCGATCAGAAGGTCGGTGGTTCGAATCCCTGCGACGGGGTGAGCTTCCATGGCTCGGTCCCTGCTCCTGCCAACCTAGCAGTTCGAAAGCACGTCAAAGTGCAAGTAGATAAATAGGTACCGCTCTGGCGGGAAGGTAAACGGCATTTCCGTGCGCTGCTCTGGTTTGCCAGAAGCGGCTTAGTCCTGCTGGCCACATGACCCGGAAGCTGTACGCCGGCTCCCTCGGCCAATAAAATGAGATGAGTGCCGCAACCCCAGAGTCGGCCACGACTGGACCTAATGGTCAGGGGTCCCTTTACCTTTACCTTTAACACCATAGGAGTTAGGCGGCTTTAGAAAGTTGGCAACCCTACCTAGGATCTGGGGTTCAGTTTAAGGCAGGCAGATGGAATGAATGGACTATTTTTCAAACTGATCCTGAAGACAGAAATGAGAGAGGTGGCGGGGAGTAAATTTCCGAAAGTGGATTAGTCTCAAACCATATTCCTCCCCAGTGAGACCTTAAGCAGGTGTCCCAGGGGATCTTTTGAGGGGTTGAAAGTGAAGAAATTAATGTGTTTTTTATTATTATTTAAATTTTATTAACATATAAAACACATACATATACATTTACACAATACACATACACAACACACTACCTTATTTTCATAACATAAAACATACCTACATTACTCTATATAATACCTATCTATACTACACATATCAACACACCTACCCCCCTCAGACACCCACCAAGTGACTTGACTTCCAGCCATTCTCGTTACGCTTTATTTTTCCAACTAGCTTAAACGCATTTCATTACTTCTTTAATCTCTTCTTCTATCTTGACTTTACTCTCTTTTCACTCTAACCATTTTCTGCATTCACTCAATATCTGTCAGAAATTTTTCCACATAAATTTTGATGCATTCCTTAAAGATAGTCCGCTCCTTATTCACTTTTTGTATCGTTTATCCTCCCTGTTAGTTCGGCAATATGGAAGTATTCCATCATTTTAGATAACCAGTCTGTTCTAGTTGGGACGCTGCTGCTGTTCCAATTTTTGGCAATCCATAACCTTGCCGCCGTAGTTGCATACATAAATATTGGTCTGACCGTTCTTTTATTTCCTGATACCTAGGAGAAAGGATTCTACACATCTACACATGTGGTGGGAGTGCAAAGAGGTAGTGGGATTCTGGGAAAATATCTATAACGAACTGAAAAAGAGGTTTAGATTTTCATTTGAAATTAATGTGGTTTGATTAACTCTATGCTGCATGAAGCCCTTTTTAAAAATCTACCTTGACTCTTCTAACACTGACTCTTCTACAATGACTCTTCTAATTAGTCATTTTGTTTCAAGGGAGAAACACTTTTCTTTCTTTTTTTATATATACATTTTTATTGATTTTTTAACATATCAGTCCCAACAGTCATACAACATATCTTCTCATCTTATACAATATTTTAGACTTCTGTCAACACCTCTGAGGATTTTCCGTTCTTTATCACTTATTCTGCATTTCTTAATTTCTATATTACATTTAATTATCCTTAACTAATAATTCTCTTCATAGTCTTTCTTGCAGTATTTTAGATAATCCACCTTACAAAACTTCTTGCAGTCCTAACTAGCGTAATCCAGTCTTCTAAGAATCTCTGATCCCACAAGTTTTGAATCCTTCCTGTTAATTTATATAATTCTGCATAGTCCATCAACTTCTTCCTCCATTCTTCTTGTCGGTAGTTCTTCTTGCTTCCATTTTTGTGCCAATAATATTTTTGCTGCTGTCATTGCATATAAAAACAACTTACAATCCTGTCTATTAATATCACCTCCTAGAATGCCAAGTAAAAATGCTTCTGTTTTCTTAATAAATGTATATTCCAACATCTTTTTCATCTCATCATATATCATTTCCCATAAGTTTTTCAATTTTTTACATTCCCACCATGTGGAGAAACACTTTTCTCCATGTATTGTGGCTGGTATCCTCCAGGAATTTTTTTCCAGTCCTCTTTTAAAGCCATCCAACTTGGTGGCTATTATCAGCTCCAGTGGCAGAGAGTTCCGCAGTTTAACTCCGCACATTCAGCTTCACTAGTGCTATGACAGAGCTTTCTCAAGCTCAAACCTTAGTAAGTGTCCAGATTCCTCCGTCTCAGACACAGAGATCAGGTGGGATCTCTCTGTTCTGTGTAGCTTGCGATAACAGCCTCCCTGCCTGTTGTTCAGATTTGGCAGCTGCGGGCGCAGGATGTCGCTGGTGAACGGAGTCGAGAGACGATCCTTGGTCAAAGAAATCCTCAGGCACCTGCCCCTTGCGGATAAGGTGAGCGCTTGGCTTGGCACTCGTCGGATCACGAAGATTTCGGAGTTTCTGGTGACCATTCCATCTCTGTCTTATTTTGCTCTAGACAGCTGTTTGGGGCACTCTGGGGACGATCAGACCCCACCTGAACTTTGAGGTGGAAAAAGATGTCCACGCTCTCCTTGATGCCGTCAGCGGGAAAGGTAACAAATCACAGTTGTGGCATTCGTGTGTTGTGTCCTTGCTGGGTTTTTCCTGTATATATGTATTTTGCAAATCCACAGAACAGCGCTGTGAGGTAGGTTACCTCAGAAGTAGAGATTTGAGTGAAGGTCACTCAGTGAACTTTTTATCTCAGTGAGAAAGGAACTGAATGTGAGCCGCTGCCCTCTATACTGTTTGACAGCGTCACATTCAGCCGAGTTTTAATCGATGCACGTCAGGACTCGAATCCGTAACCCTGGCATCTTACGAATGGCACCACGTAGGAGATTCCGGCTGAAAAAGTGGGATGCAAACCGACAGATCCCCTTTGTATAAAGTGTGCGGTTATATATACGTGTTTGATTCATAAATGTGACTTCTCCTGTTACAGAATTGAAAGGGGGGGGATTTATATATGTGAAGGACACATACAGAGAACCACGGTTTAGTGGTTAGCCTCTAAGTTTGCTATCCATCGTGACAGGTGTCGAATATGTAACCGTCATTGACCTACTGACCAACAGGAGCAATGAACAGAGGCAGCAAATTGCTGAAGAGTTCCTGAATTTCACAAAACAGGTGAGGCTGGGAAGGAGCAAACCCCTGTTAGATCTGGAGTTTTTTTGGGGGGTGGGGAGGGAATCCTATATTAGGGGGTTTCAATCTGACCCTTCAAATGTCCATCTGAGTGTCAGCTTTCTATAAACTTTGGCTGGTTTGCCAGCTTTGGCCCATCTTGACTTTACCAGCCATAATAATATTTATTTATTTATTTATTTATTTATACCACGCCCATCTGGCTGGGTTTCCCCAGCCACTCTGGGTGGCTCCCAACAGAATATTAAAAACACGATAAAACATTGAGCATTAAAAACTTCCCTAAACAGGGCTGCTTTCAGATGTTTTCTAAAAGTCAGATAGTTGTTTATTTCCTTGACATCTGGTGGGAGGGCGTTCCACAGAGCGGGCGCCACCAACGAGAAGGCCCTCTGCCTGGTCCCTGTAACCCCACTTCTTGCAGGGAGGGAACCGCCAGAAGACCATCGGAGCTGGACCTCAGTGTCCAGGCAGAACGATGGGGGTGGAGATGCTCCTTCAGGTACACTGGACCGAGGCCGTTTTGGGATTTAAAGGTCAACACCAGCACTTTGAACTGTGCCCAGAAATGTACTGACCATGGTAAAAGGTGAAGGGACCCCTGACTGTTAGTTCCAGTGGTGGCCGACTCTGGGGTCTCGCTTTACTGGCCGAGGGAGCCGGCGTACAGCTTCCGGGTCATGTGGCCAGCAGGACTAAGCCGCTTCTGGCGAACCAGAGCAGCGCACAGAAACGCCATTTACCTTCCCGCCAGAGCGGTACCTATTTATCTACTTGCACTTGACGTGCTTTCGAACTGCTAGGGTGGCAGGAGCAGGGACCGAGCAACGGGAGCTCACCCCGACACGGGGATTCGAACCACCGACCTTCCGATCCGCAAATCCTAGGCTCTGTGGTTTAACCCACAGCACCACCCACGTCCTCACTGACCATAGTAGTTCATGGCTTTGTAACAGTCTGCTTAGACCACTGCAATGCACTTTGCCTGGGGCAGCCTTTGAAGACTGTTCAGAGACGGTTTTAATCCTCCTCCTAACGCATTTCTATTTCCCCTCCTCAGGACCTTCTGAAAACTCTGGAAGCAGCTTTTTCCGGGCACCTAGAGGGCGTGATCACGGGTCTGCTGAAGCCGGCAGCTCAGTTTGATGCTCATGAAATCAACCTGGCCCTGAAGGTACGGCCATTGGTCCCTGTCTTGCTCAGTCAGGCCATTTGTGCACCTAGCCCTGCATTGCCCACACGGACTGGCAGCAGCTCCCTGGGCTTTCAAGGAAGGAGCATTTTGTAGTCCCACCTGGAGATGCCCAGGGAATGGGAAGATTTAACCGGGCACCTTCTGCATACGAAGCAGGTGCTCTCTCACTGAGCTTCCTGTAAACAGAAAGTAAGATTCTAGTCCTCATGTTTAAAGACCACTTGCCCATCTACCTCAGTATTGTCTACACTGGCTGGCAGCAGCGCTCCAGCAGGGAGATGCCAGAATTGAACCTTCTGCATGCAAGAAAGCAGGTGATCCACGCATTGGGCTACGGCTTTGCTGGGTCTTCGGCTGCTCCATCCGCCTGGTCCTACCCGTGGGCCAGGGTCTGAGTTGAGATGCGGTTGCTAGGCAACCACAACCTCCTCCATCCCGCACCATCCGAGAGCAAGAGGAGAGGGCAGCTTGCTTAGCCTACCCAGGATTTTAATCTGGTTTTAGTCTCTTGCTGTTTTAAGTTTCGGGAAATCTTAAATAATTGTTGCTAATTTTTCTTAGGAGTGACTTTATTCATTAACTTCTGTTTTCTGCAAACGGCTTTGAGGGTGTGTGTATTTTATTTTATTTTTTTAAAAAATCATTATTTGCATTTTATGAAATAAATAAAAAAAATACTTAGCAGCCTGGAAGCTGACCGCATCGGCTTCTCCTCTCCGCCCCTGTGCTGCTCTTGAGCTCCCTCGCCTTTTCAAGTGTTGCCACACTTAAGCTGCTAAGGTTACTCAACAAACGCCCTTCCTCTTTCCAGGGCCTAGAGGCAGATACACTTCTTGAAATCCTCTCCACCCGAACCAGCCAGCAACTCCGGGAGATCCTGGGTTGCTACAAGCATGGTAAAGAAGGAACGAAATTAAAAATGATATACAGTGGTACCTCGGGTTACATACGCTTCAGGTTACAGACTCCGCTAACCCAGAAATATTGCTTCAGGTTAAGAACTTTGCTTCAGGATAAGAACACAGGATAATCGTGCTCCGGCGGCACGGCGGCAGCAGGAGGCCCCATTAGCTAAAGTGGTGCTTCAGGTTAAGAACAGTTTCAGGTTAAGAACGGACCTCCGGAACGAATTAAGTACTTAACCTGAGGTACCACTGTACTTTCTTCCCCCTGTCTTTTAAAGGACAGCTAAGGGACGTACCTGGTTTGGAGAAATTGGAGAGTTATTCATGCTTTCTGAGAATCCCTGAATCATTAAGCCATGGGTGGGCAAACTAAGGCCCGGGGGCCGGATCCGTCCCAATCGCCTTCTCAATCCGGCCCGCTGACGGTCTGGAATCAGCGTGAATTTACATGAGTAGAATGTGTCCTTTTATTTAAAATGCATCTCTGGGTTATTTGTGGGGCATAGGAATCCGTTCATTTCCCCCTTCAAAATATAGTCCGGCCCCCCACAAGGTCTGAGGGACAGGGAACTGGCCCCCTGCTGAAAAAGTTTGCTGATCCCTGCATTAAGCCAATAGGCTGTAGATTTCAGGACAGAGGGAAAGCAAGTCATCCTTTGCTCAGTGCATTGTTAACCTGCAGAACTCACTGCCACAAGATGGTATCATGGACTCTTTTTTTGGTAAAGCTGATTATTTAAAGAAGCACTTCATATTTTTTGATGTAAGCTGCCTTGGATGTCCTTGTGTTTAAAGGTGGGGTGCTTGTTTGTTTGTTTGTTTGTCCTATGATCCTTTTAGACCCCATCCTGTTAACATAAACAAGTCAGCATATAAAAATGAGGTCATTAAAAAAAAACAAAAAACAGCACAAAACAGAAAAGAGAGAAATAGATCCCACAGTTTTTGTTCCTGCTTAAAATCCTAATGGTGTTGCTTAACTCCTGAAAGCCTATCAGATCTGGGTAAAACCATTTCTCTTTAATCCAAATTTGTTTCCTCCACTGTGCCTAGATTTCAGTTTGGACCTTGAGAAGGACATCGCTTCCAGAACCAGCGGTTTCCTTCAGAGTCTCCTGGATGCCTTGATCAAGGTAAAAAGGGGGGGCGGAATGACCATTCGGAGGCACTTAGGGTCAAATGAGGGGCCAAATAAGGATTCAGATTTATAGCAATAATTATAGTAATCAAATGCAGAATTGGAAATGATTTTAGAAAACCATTAGACGGGGTTGAAGGAAGTCTTAGGCTATGATAGCCAAAGATTTGATTTGATGTTCATGAGATGTTATGCTGGAAAATAGGTGTAAAAGTCAATAAAAATTATTATTATTATTTTTTAAATGAGGGGCCAAATGAGGTCATCTGGCCCTCTCTACCTGGCTCCAGGGTCTCTCCCCAGCCCCCAACCAGCCTTTCTTCACACCCTCCTCAAGTGGTTTTGCCCCACCGAATCATGGGAACTCTAGTTTGCTAAGGGCGCTTAGAACTGTAGCAGCTTTTGAATCATCTCTGTAAATAATTAAGGTTAATTGGGTACAAATAGATGATATAGATAGATGATAGATAGATAGATATAGATAGATAGATAGATGATAGATGATAGATGATAGATGATAGATATAGATAGATGATAGATGATAGATGATAGATAGATAGATAGATAGATAGATAGATAGATAGATAGATGATAGATAGAGATAGATAGATAGATAGATAGATAGATAGATAGATAGATAGATAGATGATAGATAGATGATGATAGATAGATGATAGATAGATAGATGATAGATAGATAGATGATAGATAGATAGATAGATAGATAGATAGATGATAGATAGATAAATAGATAGATGATAGATAGATAGATGATAGATAGATAGATAGATAGATAGATAGATAGATGATAGATAGATAGATAGATAGATAGATAGATAGATAGATGATAGATAGATAGATAGATAGATAGATAGATAGATGATAGTTATAGATAGATGATAGATAGATAGATAGATAGATAGATAGATAGATAGATAGATGATAGATAGATGATAGATGATAGAGATAGATATAGATAGATGATAGATAGATAGATAGATGATGATAGATAGATAGATAGATAGATAGATAGATAGATAGATAGATATAGATATTATTTTATTATGAACATGCTGATAAGTTTAGGTAATAGGTTTATTAGAGTGAAAAGATGTTGAAAAGGACGGGAAGTCTAATTTATGTACTAAATTTATACTAGGAAGACACATATCTTTTTGTTGGAATTCTTATTCTGATAAGTTTTACTGATAGATTATAATATGTCTTAGATGTATGGATGCAATTTCGGTTAATAAAGCATTAAAAAAAATAGAACTGTAGCTCTGTGCTGGGGAAAACTACAGTTCGCAGAATTTGAGGGGGGCTTTAAACGGGTGCTGAGTTTGCTTTGGTACAGATGGTCCTATGGTTGTAAAAGAAAAAGACTGTGATTAATTGCAGGGACATTATTACTGGCATCCGTCTGTCTCGGGAGACAACGGAGGAGTGTGTCTTTGGGGGTGACATCAAAGGGACGTTGTAAAGTCCTTAAATTTGGTCCGAGGTGACACGGGTAGTGCACACCTAAAATTCACACGTGCTGGTTTCTGTTATAGGTGCAAATTTAGCCTGCTTTTCAGAGGGAAAGCCATTCTGTATGCAATATTTGTTTCAAAATCACCTAAAAAAAGAGAAATTTTTAAATGGAGGATGAGGGAGGGTTAGGAGACCTGTGATTTACTTCAAAAATATTTGGGGTTTCAGATTTCCCCCAACAAAGCCTTTAATTAATCAGGAAGCATATTAAGGGTTGTGTTTTTTTTTTGTATTTTAAAAATATTTTAATGTATTAAAGCATCAACCTTGTGCCCTCCAGAAGTTTTGGCCTATTATTATTATTATTATTTACCTGCCCTTCACTGTAAGGTCCCAGGGTGGGTTCCAATATGTTTTTGTTGTTTAGTCGTTTAGTCATGTCTGCCTCTTCGTGACCCCCTGGACCAGAGCACGCCAGGCACTCCTGTCTTCCACTGCCTCCCTCAGTTTGGTCAAACTCATGCTGGTAGCTTCGAGAACACTGTCCCACCATCTCGTCCTCTCTCGTCCCCTTCTCCTTGCGCCCTCCATCTTTCCCAACATCAGGGTCTTTTCCAGGGAGTCTTCTCTTCTCATGAGGTGGCCAAAGTACTGGAGCCTCAGCTTCAGGATCTGTCCTTCCAGTGAGCACTCAGGGCTGGTTTCCTTCAGAATGGAGAGGTTTGATCTTCTTGCAGTCCATGGGACTCTCAAGAGTCTCCTCCAGCACCAGAATTCAAAAGCATCCATTCTTCGGCCATCAGCCTTCTTTAAGGTCCAGCTCTCACTTCCATACATCACTTAATGGGAAAACCATAGCTTTAACTAAACGGACCTTTGTCGGCAAGGTGATGTCTCTGCTTTTTAAGACGCTGTCTACGTTTGCCATCGCCTTTCTCCCACGGAGCAGGCGTCTTTTAATTTCATGACTGCTGTCACCATCTGCAGTGATCATGGAGCCCAAAAAGTGGATTCCAATATAAAAACACAATATTAAAAACAGTTTAAGACCACTTACCTCATGGGGCTGAGTCTGAAATATCCAGAGAGGCCCAGGATGGTGAGATGGCCTTACAAGCAAGATTTATGTACCACATAATAATAATAATAATAATAATAATAATAATAATAATAATAATAATAAAAAACTAAGCAGTGACATAACTAGTATAAAGTATTCATTTAAAAATCAGCAGCTGAGCAGTCATTTAAAAACAACAGCAGTGGACATAATCAAATTATAAAAATGCAATTTCGGCAATCTGCATTGGGAAGGGCTGTTTTAGGAGAGGAATCTGCCTTCCAAGCAGAGGAGCAAATATATTCTCTAAACTTTAAAGCAACATGCCGTCATCACCTCTGTTTCAGTTCTAGGAAGTAGGCTACAGGTTTCTGAGCTGCTGTTTTCACCCCATGCAATTGAAACCCGTCAGCTTATCTGCATGCAATTAAAATGGCTCATTAAAAAGAAAAAGAAAAAAATCTGGTGAGAGCTCTGTTGGAAATATTTTAAGTGGGGCGCATGGTAGATTTCAGGCTTCTCACACGCCTAATCTGTAAAAAAAGTTCTCGGAAAACAGCGCCTCTGAAAATAAAAGCGGGTAAGTGGCTAGTCCTCATTGTCTATGTTAAGTTGTGGGCGAACATATCAGACGACACAGCGATTCTTCAAACAGCTCTTCTTTATTCAGAGGCCAGAACAGAACTGAACTGAAGGGCTCAGTCAGCCTGCTTATATAGAGCTCCAGTACAACGTAACTGTAACAATTTTCTAAAACTATCCAATCACTGAACGTCACTTTTGATCCCTTATTTGCATAACTATCTACAGTATCCCCCTGCTGGCCCAGGGTGAGAACTTCAGTACTTAACAGTCTAATCCCCCTCCAAATACACTCTGCTTCTGTTGAACATGTGAGTCCTGATGCTGCCATTACCTGCATCTTAGCAAGAGCGTGAGATTGGACACTAGATGTCTGCACAGTTTTGCCTTTGCCCTGCTGTTTTAGCAATAAATCAGAGCAAATATCAGTCGGAAGAAAACCCAATGGACATTTAATAATAATAATAATATTTTTTTATTTATACCCCGCCCTTCCCGGTTCAGAAAACCGGGCTCAGGGCGGCTAACAACAAATTTAAAACACTTAATTGTTGCAACAAAAAACCCAGCATAAAATACAGTATAAAACGTGAATAACAATAAATTCAAAAATCCATTTAGGGGGGAAATCCATCCAATAAACATTAAATGATCACCAGGGCTAGCTGGCTAAATTAGTCCTATTTGGGCCAGCGAGGAGACCAGCGGAGAATTAGCTGTGGGATCCCAGAACGGGTAATCTTCATAAAAAGGGAAGGAAGGGGAATAAAAGATCAGGCTAAGTTGAAATTGAAAGCCAGGCGGAATAGCTCTATCTTGCAGGCCCTGCTGAAGGAGGTTAAATCCTGCAGGGTCCTGGTCTCCTGGGACAGAGCATTCCACCAGGTCGGAGCCACCACTGAGAAGGCCCTGTTCCTGGTGGAGGATAATCTGACCTCCTTAGGGCCCGCTCTGATTCAACGGTTAGGATCGGGTTTTCCCGGGTGAAAAGCAGAAGTGTGGTTTGAGCCTGAAACTGGCCGTTCTCTAGGCCCATTTAAAATCGACAGAGCAGCTTAGAAAAAGCTAGTTTAAGTTGTTTCGGTGGTGATGGGAGGAGTAAAGCATAGTTAATTTGGATCCAACTCAAGGACTGCCAGCCCACGGCCAACGTCATTGACGTCTGATTTTCTGCTTTCTCCCAGGGCAACCGTGAAAGGTACTCTGGGGTCATTGACTATGTCTTGATACGGCAAGATACGCAGGTGAGACGTCCAAGGCTGAAAATTGAGATTATTCAGACCCCATGATCTCTCTGATGCATGCAAGCCCTGTTGAGATCGTCTCTATCCCGTTGAAAATGAGATTACCCCATGGTTCATAAAGGCCAAATGGATCAGAATACACAACAAGGGTTTGGCCTGATCCTGTCTGTTATGTACTGAGTTGAATAGGATCCAAAATGCAGCAGTCTGATTGGTCTGGGCGTTGTTTGAGTGCGCTGCTGTACTCGGTGCACCTCCTCCCTGTCGGATCCTGAGTCGTCGGTGAGGTCTTGGTGGTGGACCCTCGGTTGGGACGGCAGGCTCAGCCGTGCCTCTTGCGTCGACCTCTCGGCAGCTTCCGTTGCCAGGGCCTCCTCCAGAGCGACCTGGAACGTTAGGTCCTTCTTAGCGTAGAGGCGTCGTTGCAGCTTCTCATCCTTCAGGCCACCGACGAGGCGGTCACAAAGCATGTTCTCCAGCTCTGAGAAGTTGCAGAACCGGGCGGCTTGGCGGAGGGAGGTCACAAACCCAGTTATGGTTTCCCCAGGGGCTTGCCGCTTTGCGTAGAAGGCATTTCGGCGAGCCACCCCTGAGGGCTGCGGCGGAAAGTGTCCCTTCAGCCGTTCCATTATTGTTTTGTATGGAACGGTAGCGACGTCTTCAGGCGCAAGGAGAGCCCGGGCGATTTCAAACGTCTCCTCTCCGCAGACGCTGAAGAATATCGCCCTCTTCCTGGCGTCTTCTTCGTCGGTGACCGCTTTGGCTTCTAGGAGGAAGGTGAAACGGGAGGCATACGCTTCCCAGCCTCCAGATGCAGGGTTGAACAGCGAGAAGCTGCTGTCGGTTGCCATTCTGAGTTCCTTGGGTCCCGGAGCTGAAGCCTGGATACACGGTGCGAGGCAGCGGTGCGGCAGGTGGCGGTGCTGCGGTGCTGTGTGTGGCGGTCAGCTCAGCGGGATCCCATCCTCGTCGCCAGTGAAATATACTCAGAGTCGAGAGTGGATTTCATGCTCTTTATTCAACTCATAGTGGTGAGGAGGAATGGAAGTTCCCCCAGAATATCTGCTTTATATACATTATTTACACAATGGGCCCCATGTGATTGGCTAATTCCGGAATTCTCCTGTAAACCAGTCAGGTTGTGGATTCACTTCCATCTGGAGTTGGATTGGGTGGCTCCTGCAGACCAATCAGACTGCTGCATTCTGAATCCTATTGTTCTAGGACCAATCAGACTGCTGCATTTTAGATCCTAGCGTTCTAGGACCAATCAGACTGCTGCATTTTGGATCCTATTGTTCTAGGACCAATCAGACTGCTGCATTCTAGATCCTATTGTTCTAGGACCAATCAGACTGCTGCATTCTGAATCCTATTGTTCTAGGACCAATCAGACTGCTGCATTCTGAATCCTATTGTTCTAGGACCAATCAGACTGCTGCATTTTGGATCCTATTGTTCTAGGACCAATCAGACTGCTGCATTTTGGATCCTATTGTTCTAGGACCAATCAGACTGCTGCATTTTGGATCTTATTCAACTCAGTACATAACACTGCTGCTGAACTCTCCTCGTGTTTTCAAATAATGTGTTCCACCCATGTTCCCTCCGTGTTTAATTTCTCATAAATTTCCCATCAAGTTGACCGAATGGCTTTAAGGAATAAGCTGCGCGTGCAGATTCGAGGTGCATTTGTGCATGCTATTATAGATGGCAAAGCAGCGATAAGGAATGCTTTTGCATAATCAAATGCTCTGTTTTGTATGTATGAGTGCAACTGCATGACATGATTTTAAAAATCGCAGCTCTACAACCGCCCCGATAAAAAGCTCTTCCTTGTCTCGCATTCCAGCTGTGTGAGGTTAAATGAATAATGATGGAGTTGGGGGAAAACCGGCTGCACTGGATCAGAGATAATTAAGACCTAATAGGTTTGGGGGCTAAAGCTTCAGGGCTACCCAGTTTCTATTAAGACTGGGTGTACTCCTTAAATGAGGCTCTGTTCTTACTCGTGTTTACTGGTAATACTGAGAGTACCCCTCTCAGTTGTATCCCTACACATGTTGCATCCCTAATTTGAAAGTAGATCTAAATGCAGGGAAACCCCTGCTATAAATAAGTCAGAAATTAGATCGTTTTAACAAAAGGGGGGGGGAAACCTCTATGGAAAATCGCTTTTTAAAATTCCCTGCTCTCTGGCGCCACCTGTTGCATGTTTATAGCACATGCAAATTGCTGTTTCTTTACTAATAAAGCTGAGTCCTCAGATATGGGAGGAGCAGACTCTGGTTACTCTGCGTTTGGATGGCGCCGATTTCACTCTGCGCATGTTCTGGGGATTCCGTGAATTGCTTCTACACCCCATGTCTTGTAAGCTCAAGGCCTGTTGGTTTAAATAGGTCATGCGGTGCTTCAAATAGGTCCCGGGCACTGGACTGAGTACTGATCCCTGAATTAAGTTGTTACGACAGAGAGGGCTGTTGCGACTTCAAAAAAGGCTGTTGTTATTTCGACTGTGCAATTGTTTTGTTCAGTGGTGTGTCTCTGTGGGTTCTTCCAGGCCCTCGCGGGTCCCGGAGGCGGCGACCCGGGCAGGTTGGATGAGAGCGAGTGGATCAGGATCCTAACCGAGCGGAGCCCCCAACATCTAAACAGAGGCAAGGTCTAGTTTGCAAAGCTTGCAAGTTGCTGTTTCTGGGGAAAGGCGTTGAGTTCAGCCATGTTGGCATTCTATGCAATGCACTAAAACGGTGTTCTCATGGGCCCCTGAGTCAGAGCCAATAGGTTTGTCAGGGGCTCTTTCCTTCATAATAAATAATAATAATAAAAATAATTTTTTATCTATACTCCGCCCTTCCCGGTTCAGAAAACCAGGCTCAGGGCGGCTAACAACAAATTTAAAACAAAATTGAGGCAACAAAAAACAGCATAAAATACAGTATAAAACGTGAATAACAATAAATTCAAAAATCAATTTAGGGGGGAAATCCATCCAATAAACATTAGATGATCACCAGGGTTAGCTGGCTAAATTAGTCCTATTTGGGCCAGCGAGGAGACCAGCGGAGAATTAGCTGTGGGATCCCAGAGCGGGTAATCTTCATAAACAGGGAGGAAGGGGAATAAAAGATCAGGCTGAGTTCAAATTGAAAGCCAGGCGGAATAGCTGTGTCTTGCAGGCCCAACAGAAGGAGGTTAAATCCTGCAGGGCCCTGGTCTCCTGGGACAGAGCATGCCACCAGGTCGGAGCCATCACTGAGAAGGCCCTGTTCCTGGTGGAGGATAATCTGACTTCCTTAGGGGCCGGGACCTCTAAGCTATGATTATTCAGTGAATCTGCTTTCGAGGTGACCCCTTCAGAGTGTACAAGGCAGCTTCCAATGTTCCTAACATGTTTAGAAGCAGTCTGGCTTAATCCTTTCTTTCTCCCACAGTGTTCATCTGGTACCACAAGAAGACTGGGCTCCAGGTGGAGGAAGCCATGAAGAAGTACTTAGAGGGGAAGGCCCTCGAGGCTGGCTTGACCCTGGGTAGGTAAGAGGGTGTGGGCTGGATGTGGCCCCCCAGAGCCTTTCTATCTGTCGTGCTTGGAGGGGGGCGGTGTATGAATGCAGGGATACCTTGGTCAGACCCCACATGGAATACAGTCATACCTCGGGTTACAGATGCTTCAGGTTGTGCGGTTTCGGGTTGCGCACTGCACCGAACCCAGAAGTACCGGAACGGGTTACTTCCGTGTTTCCGCGCATGTGCAGAAGTGCTAAATTGTGCTTTGCGCATGTGCCGAAGCGCCAAATTGCGACCTGTATGTGCGCAGACGCGGCGCTGCGGGTTGCGGACGCTGCGGGTTGCGAACATGCCTCCCGCACGGATCACGTTCGCAACCCGAGCGTCCACTGTGTCCAGTTCTGGGCTCCCCAGTTTAAAGAGGATGTTGACAAGCTGGAATGTGTACAGACCAAGATGATCAAGGGTCTGAAAAACAAGCCTGATGAGGAACGGTTGAAGGAGCTGGGTACCTTTAGCCTGGAAGAGAGGAAACTGAGAGGAGATATGAGAGCCACCTTCAAATATCTCAAGGGCTGTCACATGGAGGAGGGAGCAAGCTTGTTTTCTCCTGCTCTGGAGGGTAGGACTCAAACCCATGGCGTCAAGTGACAAGGAAGGAGATTCTGACTAAACATCAGGAAGAACTTTCTGACAGTAAGAGCTATTTGGCAGTGGAACGGTCTCCCTCGGGAGATGGTGGACTCTCCTTCCTTGGAGATTTTAAAGCAGAGGTTGGGTGGCCATCTGTCATGGATGCTTTAGCTGAGATGCCTGCATTCCAGGGGGTTGGAATAGATGTCCCCCTGGGGTCCCTTACGACGCTACAATTCTGATTCTATGTATGTGAATGGTATTTGTTTGTGAGCAGGGCGTGTATGTCTATCTACTCTTGACTCTGGCCTCGTCTGCCGTAAAGGAGCGCGGAAATAAATAACACACCAAACATGCTCAGGGACGCTCTCGTCCTTGACGATTTCATGTTTTCTGTAGAGAGGTCTGGCCAGGAACAAGCAGGAACTGTGAGATTATAGTTAGCGGCTCAGAAACCTGGGTTTGGAGCAGCTCAGACAGAAATGCTCACGGGAGTGGATTTCATGCTCTTGATTCAGCTGACAGTGGTGAGGAGGAATGGAAGTTCCCCCAGAATGTCTGCCTTATATACATTATTTACACAATGGGCCCCACATGATTGGCTAATTCTGGGATTCTCCTATAGGCCAATCAGGTTGCAGATTCCCTTCCACCTGGAGCTGGATTGGGTGGCTCCTGTGGACCAATCAAACTGTGGCATTCTGGATCCTTTGTTCTAGGACCAATCAGACTGCTGCATTCTGAATCCTATTGTTCTAGGACCAATCAGACTGCTGCCTTTTGGATCCTATTCGACTTAGTACATAACACTGTGATACAGTGGTTAAAGACACCCAAAAAGCTGAGGATTTTAGAAAAGAAAAATTGGCTTGTTTTGGGTTCTTCTTCTTTGGCGATCCCTCGTAGCCAAGTAAGATTGTCTTCCATAAACACGGTTTGAACAATGAGTCCGTAAGTGACTGTGGAGGCCAATTCTGGATCCACACGTCCTTCCACAGTGGGGACATTGGTTTATGGGCTGGAGTTGATCACGGTGTGGATTTGCCAAGCGTGCCTTCTTCTTAGCATGTTTCTCCCTTGCGTCCTGAGTTCGAGTGTCTTCAAAGCCCATGACACCTTTGGTAAAGGCTGTTCTCCAACTGGAGCGCTCGCAGGCCAGTGTTTCCCAGTTGTCGGTGTTTATACTACATTATTTTAGATTTGCCTTGAGACAGTCTTTCAACCTCTTTTGTTGACCACCAGCATTACGCTTTCCATTTTTAAGTTTGGAATAGAGTAGTTGCTTTAGAAGACGATCATCAGGCATCCGCACAACATGACCAGTCCAACGAAGTTGATGTTGAAGAATCATTGCTTCGACACTGGTGATCTTTGCTTCTTCCAGGACACTGGCATTAGTTCGCCTGTCTTCCCAAGTGATGTGTAAAATTTTTCAGAGACACCATTGATGGAATCTTTCAAGGAGTTGGAGATGGCGTTTATAAGTGGTCCATGTTTCACAAGCATACAGTGTTGTTTTGGGTGTGCTTCAAATAACTGAAGATGGTTTTCAGAGACGATATGAGAACATGTTGGTTATCCGATTGGTTTATTATTATTCTAAATCCATGTTCTTTTGCAGTCTCTATCCTCAGAAACACCCCTCTCTATTTTGCCACAAAGCTCTACCAAGCGGTTAAGGTGAGGAGAATTAATCCACACTTATTTCTCTCTTTCGCTCTGTCTCACAAGTGTATCCTTCCCTTTCTCCAGGAATTTGGATAAACTGTTTTGGGCACCAAAACAGCTGCAGACAGGGCATGGCTTAACACAAAACGACTGCTCTGCTGTTGCTTTTGGATTGCAAATGAGACATGATTTATTGCACATACGAACAACTTTAGAGTCACACTGTTTCGTTTGTGCCCTAAATCGGCGGGGTGGCATGACAATGTCATTTGTGTAATTAATTGTGCAAGTTATAATTTTGTCGCAGCGGATGGCAAGATGAAGAACAGAATGGGGTTGTGTGTGTAAGGTCTCCTTAGTAAATGTAAAGGGACCCCTGACCATTAGGTCCAGTCATGACTGACTCTGGGGTTGCGGCACTCATCTCGCTTTATTGGCCGGCTTCCGGGTCATGTGGCCAGCATGACTAAGCCGCTTCTGGCGAACCAGAGCAGCGCATGGAAACACCGTTTACCTTCCCGCCAGAGCGGTACCTATTTATCTACTTGCACTGGTGTGCTGTCAAACTGCTAGGTTGGCAGGAGCTGGGACCGAACAACGGGAGCTCACCCCTTCGCGGGGATTCGAACCGCCGACCTTCTGATCAGCAAGTCCTAGGCTCTGTGGTTTAACCCACAGTGCCACCCGCGTCCCTAAGGCCTCCTTACATCCCCAGTAAAGGTGCTGTTTGCCCCCCGCCACAGCCTTGCAAATAACCCCACCCAATTCACTAGCCTGTGAAAAAGAGCAATCCTATCCTGGTGGCTGGGCCTGCCTCTCCCAGCTTTCTTAAACCATGAGATTGCTATGACATCTACAATATAAATATAGATATCCTAACCCTCACCTGTCTGCTCTTTAAAGGGTCCAGAAACCAGCCCAAGAACTCTGGCCCGCATCCTGATTTCCCGTAGCGAAACTGACCTGCTCAGCATCCGATCCGAGTTCAGGAAGCATTATGGGATTTCTCTCTACTCCTTCCTCCAGGTAAGGGCGCCAGGCTTTCTTTACTGCGGGTGGGGAGTGGGCAGAGATGGAGGGAGGAAGAGTAGGGGTCCAGGGTTGCTCCATCAGCATCACAACTTTGGGTCCCTCCCCTCCTTGAACTTTTCCATCCCAGCCGGTCCCTGAAACGACGTGCAAACTCGGAACTTGAGTTTGCTGATTTCCTCCTCCCTCCTGATCCATTTTCTTTTTGTGCTGTGTCTCTTTTCCTTAAGTGAGGTGTAAGAGGAGGGAGCCTTCTTTGGCTGAAAAGTGGGGGTGTCTTTAAATGAAATTAATCTGCTTGGCCATGATGGAATATTTAGTTAGCTAGACCTTCCGTCAAATTCTACCAGGATCCCGTTATGCAGAGATTATTAACAGGGTTCTCTTGTCAGATATGCATATGTTCAGGTCAGCAGAGGGGAATAGAATATCTCCCCTTTTGGATGTTGTTTAGTCGTTTAGTCGTCTCCGCCTCTTTGTGACCCCCTGGACCAGAGCACGCCAGGCCCTCCTGTCTTCCACTGCCTCCCGCAGTTTGGTCAAACTCATGCTGGTAGCTTCGAGAACACTGTCCCACCATCTCGTCCTCCGTCGTCCCCTTCTCCTTGCGCCCTCCATCTTTCCAAACATCAGGGGCTTTTCCAGGGAGTCTTCTTTTCTCATGAGGTGGCCAAAATCTTGGAGCCTCAGCTTCAGGATCTGTCCTTCCAGTGAGCACTCAGGGCTGATTTCCTTCAGAATGGAGATGTTTGATCTTCTTGCAGTCCATGGGACTCTCAAGAGTCTCCTCCAGCACCAGAATTCAAAAGCATCCATTCTTTGGCGATCAGCCTTCTTTATGGTCAAGCTCTCACTTCCATACATCACTACTGGGAAAACCACAGCTTTATAAGTGCTTAATTCTGGGTGGGCTGTGCCCTTTACTCATTTAAGCAAAGCCTTCTAAAATCCTTTTTTTATCTTCCACCAGGCTGAAATGAATGGCAACTACCAGACCGCCTTGCTTGGTCTGTGCAGAGCAGAAGATCTGTAAGTTATGCCCTCTGCTGACGAGCCTCTGTGTGCAACAGCAGTCTACCTCTGAATACCAGGCAAATGCTTACATCAGCCAACCACCTCTTCCTCCCGAAGGCCCTGGAGTCCCGCCAAAAGTCACCCTCAGAGGATCTCGATTCTCCATTTGCGCTAATTTCTTCTTGTTTCTCGGTTGGTTCTGGAAATATTTTTTTGGGGGGGGAGGCTGGGAATGATTTAAGGAGAAAGAGCGAGATGCCGTACGTATTTCTTGCTGAGCCAATGCCAACTGTGTTGCGAACATCCAGCCATTTCTGTGCTGGGGGGCAAAATGGAATTAATTGCTCACGAGTCGTGATGGTGAGATGCTACCGCCAACATCAGAGACCGTTTTTCCACTGGAAACTGCTGGCTGCCTTTTCCTCTGGGCGATATGAACCAATCAGGGATCCTGTGCTGAATTTACATTTACAGAAGCTGGAATCTGGAACACCTGTGGCCCTCCAGATGTGGTTGGACTCTTATCACCTGTAGTCAGTGTTGGTGGAACTTGTAGTCCCTCAATATCTGGGGAGGGGGCACAGGTCCCCCTCATATCCATCCCAGCAGCAAAGGACAACCTATCAGCCTTTCTCAGGAACTACAACATCCCCTTACCTGGAACTGTGTAGTTTAACATATACCGTATTTTTCGCTCTATAAGACGCACCAGACCATAAGACGCACCTAGTTTTTGGAGGAGGAAAAACAAGCAAAAAAATATTCTGAATCTCAGAAGCCAGAACAGCAAGAGGGATCGCTGCGCAGTGAAAGCAGCGATCCCTCTTGCTGTTCTGGCTTCTGGGATAGCTGCGCAGCCTGCATTCGCTCCATAAGACGCACACACTTTCCCCCTTACTTTTTAGGAGGGGAAAAGTGAGTCTTATAGAGCAAAAAATACGGTATATTGCAGGTCTTTCTGTCTTGGTAAGCTCACCTTTTCTCCACCACCTGACCTATTTAGTACCACCCTTTCTTTAAAAATGAAGTACGTGATAATAAAGTACCTCTGAGCATATAACGGAGTGTTTTTTCCCCTCTCAGGGCAGATGTAAAGTTTTGGCACCTCCCCGTTTTACAAACTGAGTTGGGCTGTGCTCAGTCGATTCCTTTTATCGTTCAAAAACAGGCTGGGAAATTGCCTCGGTTAAGTCAGGCAGCAGATTGGGTGTTAAGAAGGGGAAAATTTGCAAAAAACTGTGAGGGGCAGGAACTTCGAAGAGCCGTTCCTTCTTTTCCACCAGGCATGATGGGACAATACAGCAGTTTTAGAAGAGGCAGATCGCTTGCTTAATGCACTAAAAGGGAGCGTGTTTTCATGTCTACCCTGAGAGGCAGACTAGGCTGAGAGGCAGTTTCATGGACGAGCGGGGATTCGAACCCTGACCTCCTAGACCAATTCTCTAACCACTGTACCATCCTGGATCTCTACCCCACACTGGAGTTCCCGCTCCTCCATCCCTCAAAATTTTAGGGGCACATCATGGCTGCCCCAAATATTTTTGTTGTTTCTAGGGAATTCAATTCCCATCCGGTGTTTTTACCATCCACCATTTTAATTTTTTAAACGACTCCAAGTCCTTCTCCAATTATGCTATTGGATTCCTGACAAGAGATCTGAAGACCCCAGATTGTCCCCATTCCTGCCCCCCCACAGGCAAAGCTGTAGATAAAAACAACCTCAGCACTGGGCTGTGTAAGAATGTGGCTGCCAGACTGGTGACTGGGAGCGGCCACCAAGACCATATAACACCAGTCCTGAAAGACCTACCGTATTTTTCTCTCTATTACACGCAGATTTTTTCTCCTAAAAAGGAAGGGGAAATGTCTGTGCGTGTTATGGAGCGAATGTGGGGGGGTCCCTGGAGCCGATTAGGGGAGCGCAGGAACAAAAATCAGCAAAAATCAATCGTGTGTTGCGTCGGAGAGGGAAACCTGAAAAGAGGAAGTGGTTGCTTTCCTGCATTCTGCCTCAGGGTCTTACTGCCCACCCTCCTCTGTTTCCTTGCTGTGTTTGCTCAAACGGAACAAAGAGCAGGCAAATCCCCTCCCCTCCAGGCAAGCAGAGGGGAAAGCAGAGGTCTTTCCTTCTAATTCCTCTCCGTGCTCCTCGCAGGCAGCCAGAAAACATGCAGGAGGAGAGAGAAAGCTGGCTTCGGTTTGTGGAAACTTTTGCCTTTCTTTCCTCCCTCCCGTAAAATCCCTCTCCTGCTTTCTTAGCCAGCTGCTTCTCTGCACACCGCTCTCTTGTCCCTTCTTTGTTTTTCCTTCGCTCCCCACTTAAAATGTAGTTACAAAGCATGGATCCACATGGATCCTCAGGATCTTTGCATTGGGCCACCCCAAATTCACCATCAGATCACATAGCAGCCTGCCCCCCAAAAATCACACACCCACTGTTGCCTGGGGCTGCAATGGTGCAAAAATGTGGTTAAAAAGCATGGATCCACATGGATCCTCAGGATCTTTGCATTGGGCCACCCCAAATTCACCATCAGATCACATAGCAGCCTGCCCCCCAAAAATCACACACCCACTGTTGCCTGGGGCTGCAATGGTGCAAAAATGTGGTTAAAAAGCATGGATCCACATGGATCCACAGGATCTTTGCATTGAGCTACCCCAAATTCACCATCAGATCACATGTCTGTGGCCACAGCATGAAGCACAAAAATGATACATCCACTGTTTCATTCAGAATTTTTTCCCTTGTTTTCCTCCTCTAAAAACGATGTGCGTGTTATGGTCAGGTGCGTGTTATAGAGCGAAAAATACGGTACATTGGCTCCCAGTACGTTTCCGAGCACAATTCAAAGTGTTGGTGCTGACCTTAAAAGCCCTAAATCAGACATAGCCAAACTCGGCCCGCCAGCAGTTTTGGGACTACAACTCCCATCATCCCTGACCACTGGTCCTGTTAGCTAGGGATGATGGGAGTTGTAGTCCTAAAACAGCTGGAGGGCCAAGTTTGCCTATGCCTGCCCTAAACGGCCTCGGCCCACTATACCTGGTGTCTGCCCCCATCGTCCAGCCCGGACACTGAGGTCCAGCGCCGAGGGCCTTCTGGCGGTTCTCTCCCTGCGAGGTTACAGGGAACCAGGCAGAGGGCCTTCTCGGTGGTGGCACCCGCCCTGTGGAACACCTTCCCACCAGATGTCAAGGAAATAAGCAACTATCTGACTTTTAGAAGACATCTGAAGGCAGCCCTGTTTAGGGAAGTATTGAATGTTTGATGTTTTATTGTGTTTTTAATATTCTGTTGGGAGCAGCCCAGAGTGGCTGGGAAACCCAGGCAGGTGGGTGGGGTATAAATAAATTATTATTATTATTATTATTATTATTATTATTATTATTATTACTACTACTACTACTACTATTACCTTAATACACATCCTGCTCCTCTCAGGACTCCAGCCCCCATCAGCCCCAGCCCCTAGAGGAGGGTGTGTGTGGTGGGGGACAGATGTTGTTGGACTCCAACTCCCAGAAGCCAGCAGGGCTGACAGCAAGGGATGATGGGAGTTGGAGTCCAAGAAGGGGGCTCTAGAAGGCAAGTCCGGCTTGTTTCTCTGCCTGGGGTGGGAAGATCATTTCCAATCAACTGCACCCGCAACCAAACTGCTCTCTTATCAATTCCCATTGAATGATAGACAGGGCCCCCTCCCTACTTGTGGGGTGGGGAGAGGAGAAGATAAAGACTCTGGAGAAGACGAGTTTGCCGGGGTTTTCGCCACCCCAAAGGTTAGTTTCTCTCTTTTTTCCCTTTTAATTTTGGTTTCAGCCCCAGAAGAGGGGAGACTTTTTAAAAAACAGCAGTCTTTTTAAAAAAACGGAACAAGAGGCGTATAGAAGAAGAGGGTCCTTCTCCGCGGCAGACGTCGGTCACCTGGGAAACGGGTGCTCTGGGTCACCCGCGGCTTGGCGTTACAGGACGACGCAGTCCGAATCCTGCTTCTGGCGCGGCCTGCGCTCTCCGGAGGGGCGGGAGGGCGGCGGAGTCCTCCCCTAAAAGGAGGGAAGAGGAGAAAGTGGGGCGTGTTAAGGAAGGGGAGATTTTGTCAGACGTGGAACACTTTCCCTCCCTCTCTCGCGATACTGGATATCAATAGGGACACACGCAAGGGAGGCTGGAAGATTCAGCGAAGACAAAGCCCTTGTTGCTGCGGTTAAACTGTGGAACTCACTTCCACATGAGGCAGCCAATCTGGATGGTTTTAAAAGAGGATTGGACATGGGAAGTTTCTAATGTGTGACATCTTACTGTATTTTTGGGCTTTGTTGGAAGCCGCCCAGAGTGGCTGGGGAAACCCTGCCAGATGGGCGGGGTACAAATAATAAATTATTATTATTATTAGGAGGAGAAGGAGAAGGAAAAGGCTATTGTTGGCTGTGTTATACCTGTGCTATACCAGTAATAATAATAATATCTAAAACTCGCGACACGCAAGGAAAGGGCGATAGGGAGGGAGAAGGGGAGGAAACACCCCCCCCAAACCAGGCACCTATTTTTAAATAGCAGCTCTTATCATGAGCAGCTAGATAAAGGTAAAGGGACCCCTGACCATTAGGTCCAGTCGTGACCAACTCTGGGGTTGCGGCGCTCATCTCGCTTTACTGGCCGAGGGAGCCGGCGTACAGCTTCCGGGTCATGTGGCCAGCATGACTAAGCCGCTTCTGGCGAACCAGAGCAGCTCACGGAAACACCGTTTACCTTCCCACCAGAGCGGTACCTATTTATCCACTTGCACTTGGACGTGCTTTCGAACTGCTAGGTGGGCAGGAGCAGGGACCGAGCAACGGGAGCTCACCCCGTCATTGCGAGGATTCGAACCGCTGACCTTCTGATCGGCAAGTCCTAGGCTCTGTGGTTTAAGCCACAGCGCCACCCGTGTCCCTGTCATGAGCAGCTGGTGGTCTGTAATAGAGGTGTTTATGGCAGGTCTATGGCTCTGCAGATGCTGCTGGGGTCTGCCTAACTCTACCCCTGACCGCTGGCCATGCTGCGTACACAGGGGTTGGGGGGAGTTGGGGGACGTTACCTGTGCTGGGGGAGCCGCGGCCGGCGGCGGCTGCTGCTGCTGCTGATATTCCTCCTGCTGCAGTTGCTGGGCAAGCTCTAAGTCGCTGAGCGCGGGTCCCCCTTGCTGCTGTTGCAGAGACAAGGCGATCATGTAGTCCTATGGAAGAAGGAAGGAAGGAAGGGAGGAAGGAAGGAAGGAGAGAGAAAGAGTTGGTGGATGTGAACTCAGAGCATGGCACACACACCTCCTTCGAATTCCTACCCTCTGTTTTCATTTTCTTCTTCCATCTTAATTTTATTTTATTCGCAACACGCCAAAGGTTTTGGGTATAATATATAGTTAAAAGATTGGGGGAAACAATGGAAGGAAGGATTAAAATTTACTGCATGCAATGCTCTGAAAGAAAATGTGATGAAAATGATGTATAGGTAGTATGTTGCACCTGTAAAATTAGCTAAAAATGTATAAAATAAGTAATAAATGTTGGAAATGTAAAGAAAAGGAAGGAACTATTTCCTTTGTACATACATCGGATGTGGAGTGTTTCAAGACCTTCTTCTTATTATTATTACATTTGCACGCAGCAGAACCCGGCCACCGTTCTCTTGAAACGGAGGCATTGCGTTTTCAGTGCTCCTAAATGCTCAGCTTGGGAACACGCAGAACAACTCCTCTTTCTCCCCGTTAGCCAGAGGGACACTCTGAGCCCGTCATCAGTGGCTGGATCAGCTCCTTTCGCTCTGATTGGCTCCAATCAACACAGAGGGTGAGAAGGTTGCTTAAAAGGTAAAGGTAAAGGGACCCCTGACCAATAGGTCCAGTCGTGGCCGACTCTGAGGTTGCGGCTCTCATCTCGCTTTCCTGGCCGAGGGAGCCGGCGTACAGCTTCCGGGTCATGTGGCCAGCAGGACTTAAGCCGCTTCTGGCAAACCAGAGCAGCGCACGGAAACGCCGTTTACCTTCCCGCCGGAGTGGTACCTATTTATCTACTTGCACTGGCATGCTTTCGAACTGCTAGGTTGGCAGGAGCAGGGACCGAGCAACGGGAGCTCACCCGTCGCGGGGATTTGAACCACCGACCTTCTGATTGGCAAGTCCTAGGCTCTGTGGTTTAATCCACAGCGCCACCCGTGTCCCGAGAAGGTTGCTTACCATTGGCTAAAAAGCCTCCCCTTTCAACTGATTGGGTGAACCGGGGCAGCCCTTATGCCCCGCATGGTCTCACCTGGTCCACCTGTCTCTGGTTGAGGTGCTGCTCTTGTGGGGAACCGCCTGCTGCCTCCTTGCCCAGGGCGTGGCTGAGGTGGAACTCTGCGTCGCAGAAGCAGCTGTCCCCGTCCACGTTGTGCAGGCTCTCCCAGGCGACCTGCTCCTCGTGGAGGAAGCCCTGGTCGGTCACCAGGAGGTACAAGTGGCTCTGGAGAGGGAGCGAGGAGAGAAAACAAACAGGCTCTGGTTAATTCGGAGGCAGGGTGGCGGTAAATCAGCATAAGTAAAGGTAAAGTGACCCCTGACCATTAGGTCCAGTCGTGGCCGACTCCGGGGTTGCAGCGCTCGTCTCGCTTTATTGGCCGAGGGAGCTGGCGTACAGCTTCCGGGTCATGTGGCCAGCAGGACTAAGCCGTTTCTGGTGAACCAGAGCAGCGCACGGAAACGCCGTTTACCTTCCCGCTGGAGTGGTACCTATTTATCTACTTGCACTTTGAGGTGCTTTCGAACTGCTAGGTTGGCAGGAGCAGGGACCGAACAACAGGAGCTCACCCCGTCATGGGGATTCGAACCGCCGACCTTCTGATCGGCAAGCCCTAGGCTCTGTGGTTTAACCCACAGTGCCACCTGCGTACAACTATTTAAAAACACCACCACTTGCGAGCATCTACTTTCTTGGGCTCTAATCACAGAGAGAGGCTATTGAACTTCCCAGTCCTCTTGGCTAATGGCCTTGTCCTGAGTGAATCTCCACCCCTCGTCTCTCCCACTTCCTCCTTCGTCACTTCTACGGGTGCTGCTGCGTGCCCTCTGTCTTTGAGCTCTTTGCTCTCCTACTTTTAAGGCTCGCCAGGTTCTGGGAGATGGAGGGTCTGGAATGCTTTCTAATGACAGCGTGTCAGCTGGGTATGTTGAATGGTCTCTTTAAATTTGAAGGTTCATTATTGTTCCACAAGATGTGTATGTCTTTAAGGGCCAGAGCAAATAACGTGACCTAGTTTTACAGCTGTGAAACAGTATACCAGGTGCTGCTAAAGGTAAAGGTACCCCTGCCCATATGGGCCAGTCTTGACAGACTCTGGGGTTGTGCGCCCATCTCACTTAAGGGGCCGGGGGCCAGCGCTGTCCGGAGACACTTCCGGGTCACGTGGCCAGCGTGACATCGCTGCTCTGGTGAGCCAGAGCCGCACACGGAAACGCCGTTTACCTTCCCGCTAGAAAGCGGTCCCTATTTATCTACTTGCACCCGGAGGTGCTTTCGAACTGCTAGGTTGGCAGGCGCTGGGACCGAGCAACGGGAGCGCACCCCGCCGCGGGGATTCGAACCACCGACCTTTCGATCGGCAAGCCCTAGGCGCTGAGGCTTTTACCCACAGCGCCACCCGCGTCCCCCAGGTGCTGCTAAGTTGTGTTAATTAAGCTGTGTCAGCAATTGGGTATAGTATATAAAGAGCGGCACCTAGCTCTCTCAGTACCCTGGTGGATGGGTCATGCTTGTTGATATATTTAGTGTAAAAGAAGTTTTTGTTTTTGTTATTAAAGCCTAGCTAAAGTTATTTTGTGTTCCTTGTAATGTGTGGTCTCCCCAGCAAGTTTTCTGCAGCGCAACTAATCTGCAAATAGCTAACAGGGTGTTGTTCTGGTTGTCCCACGATTTCCTAGCTTTCCCCCTCATCTGCCTCTGAGCTGCCACCTCCCTCAAACCCCTGTTGTAAAGCTATATTGTCTTCCTTTCCCTCCTCCCTGGAAGGGTCCGGATGGGGAGGCCGTCCCCACCACAGCTTCCCCCCTGCCCAGCCCTGGACATCATCCACCTTTCTTAAAAACAACAGCCCTGCGGGGCGGATACCTTGTGCTTGATCATGGTGCTGAAGTGGTTGTTCCTGAAGAAGACGCTCAGCTCGCCTTCCTTGACGGTGGACGTCAGCTCGCAGAGGCCGTGGTAGGTCAACTGAGAGGCCGTGGACTCCAAAAACTGCTCTGCTATCAGGCCTGCGAGGGGCGGGGGGGCGGGGGCGTTGTGATGGAACAGGGAGCAGAAGAAGCAAAAATGAGGCAAAATGCAGGCAAAGCGTGATAGTGATCGACTGATGAAAAGGCCCTGGCCCTAGTTGAGACCAACCTAACCACCTTGTGACCCGGGACCTCCAAAGTGTTGTCATTTGTGGACCTTAAGGTCCTCCGTGGGGCATACCGGGAGGTATGATACAATGATACAAGAAATATACAGTGGAACCTCGGTTGTTGAACGCTTCAGAATTCAAACGTTTCAGCTTTCGAACGCTGATGACCCGGAGGTGAATACTTCCGTTGTCAAACGTTTTGGAAGTCGAACGGTCTTCCAGAATGGATTACGTTTGACAACTGAGGTTCCACTGTATATACATTTAACAGTTGTTCAAAATAGGTGTCTAATAGCTCAGAGGTGGTTAAAAGGCCTTTGCTGAAGCAGAGAGGTCTCCTGAGGTGGAAACCATGAGAGACGAGGCTTGGAAAGCACGTTTCTGCAAGTGTGAAACTACCACCAAGCAGGCCCTGCCACTAGTCTCTGTAAATCAGATCTTATTTTATTTTTCCTTGCGCAGGGGCCATGCTAGTCTTCTCTGTATCGTTCCAATTTTAGCATATGTGCTGCCGAAGCGAGCACAAATCAGATCTTAATGGCCTCCACCCCTGGGCTGATGACAACCCCACCTCCAGGTAACAGTTACCCCTGGGCCTTGAATGAGCCCAGGCAGACGGGCCTCACCTTCCGTCACCAGATTAGGGTCGCTCGAGTGTTTGCAGGTGATGATCTTCTCCACCAACTGGTTGTAGGTCAGCTTGCTGACGGCCTGGGCCACCTCTGGTATCTGGGGTGGGGAGAAACAGGTTGTGAGCTGGAGTCTGGGAGTCCACGGCGCAAGGGGTGTCGACAGCCGAGAGGCAGGTTCAAATCCCAGTTCGGCCACCAAACTCCCAGTTTGCCCACACCCACCCCTCAGCCTAACCTTGCAGGGTTGTTGTGCGGACAGAGGAGGATCATGCAGCAAACCCACAATATATATATATATATTGCAGGGAGAGGAAGAATGAGTTAAAGAAACGGAATAAAGAAATGTATGAAGCCCTTTGGGCTCCAGTGGAACTGATCGTGGTGGTGTTGGGAAGACATTGCATTGTTCTTATTATCTTAGACTTAGGTCAGGAATGGGGGACTGAGGCAGTGCTGGACTCAGTTTCCCATCAGCCCCAGCCCACCTGGCCAATGGTTGGAGGTGATGGAAGTTGTAGTTCAACAAACATCTGGGTGGGTGGTTGTCACAGGACACCCCAATTTAGAATTTAAAATTTTTAAATTTCAATTATTATTTTTAAAATTTCAATTAGAAATGCAGATTGCAATTCAATTTCTCAACAGCTGGGGATGGCTGAACGCAGGGCCGGATATAGGTTTAATGAAGCCCTCAGCTACTGAAGGCAATGAGGCCCTTTATATGTCCAGCTGTCCTTTGTCAACAACAAATGGTCGCTGTTTTTTCATGTTGAATATATGCTACATGGTAATTTATGGACCTAATAGGGATCTAAAGCCATTTGCACATAACAAATAGGGGCCTACACAGCACAAAACACTGTTGCTATATGTGGGTTTTATTTTATTTGTTTTATATCTTTTATTTTGGAACATCCAGGTGTTTTTTTCCTTTGATTTTTTGGGGGGCCCCAAGAGAGTGGAGCCCTAAGCTATAGCTTGTTTAGCTTATACAGTGGTACCTCTGGTTGTGAACGGCATCCGTTCCGGAGGCCTGTTCGCAACATGAAAGGAACACAACCCGCAGCGGCCATCTGTGCACGCGCGGGTTGCGATTCGCCGCTTCTGAGCACGCACGCGACGTCATTTTGCGCATCTGCGCATGCGCGAGCGGCGAAACCCGGAAATAACCCTTTCTGGTACTTCCGGGTCGCCGTGGGACGCAACCTGATGTAACATGAAGCAAACATGAGGTATGACTGTACGTAAATCCGGCACTGGCTGAACGGCGGGTGCCATTTACGCTTCTCAGACTGGAGAGATTCGGCTCGCGAACTCTCAAAGACGCCTTTGGCGGCATCCGAGACGCTGAAGACTTGCAAGCTCAGCTCCTAGGAAGCGATGGCGTGCGGAAAGAAGAAAAGAGAAAGCATCTCACCTGTGGGTCCACCAGCCAGCCGTGATAGAGAGGCATGTTGAGAAGGTCGAAGACGATGCACTCGGGGGTGTACTCGAAATCAGCGACTCCCGTGAACCTCACGTTGACATCCAGCCCCGTGGAGAGTTTGGGCAGAACCGTCATGGCGTCGTTGACGTTCTGTCCGCGGCAGGAGAGGAAGAAGGGCATGCTGGGTATTTTTGAAATTGGGGGACGGAACAAAGTCTAGCTGGGAAAGACTGCATTGGGGGGGGAGGGATAAGGAACCTCAACTCTGGGAGACCAGGGTCGAATCCACCCACAGGGCCGCTGTCTCTCTCAAGGTCGTTGTGGGGATTAAATGAGGGGGAGAACCACGTGTACCACCGCCTTGAGCTCTTTGGGGGGAAAGCTGGGGCAGAAATTCCATCAATAAACAAAAGAGTTAATCAGAGATAATAATAATAATAATAATAATAATAATAATAATAATAATAATAATTTATCATTTATACCCCGCCCATCTGGCTGGGTTTCCCCAGCCACTCTGGGCGGCTTCCAACAGAACACTAAAATACAATAACCTATTAAACATTAAAAGCTTCCCTAAACAGGGCTGCCTTCAGATGTCTTCTAAAAGTCTGGTAGTTATTTTTCTCTTTGACATCTGGTGGGAGGGTGTTCCATAGGGTGGGCGCCACCACCGAGAAGGCCCTCTGCCTGATTCCCTGTAACTTGGCTTCTTGCAGCAGGGGAACCGCCAGAAGGCCCTCAGAGCTGGATCTCAGTGTCCAGGCAGAACGATGGGGGTGGAGACGCTCCTTCAGGCATACTGGACCGAGGCCGTTTAGGGCTTGAAAGGTCAGCACCAACACTTTGAATTGTGCTTGGAAACGTACTGGGAGCCAGTGTAGGTCTTTCAAGACCGGTGTTATAGTATTACTTGTAAGGGATTGTGCCCTCGCTGGATCAGGCCGCGAGGAACTCAGCGTTCTCCTTTCGGCAACGACCTGCAGAACAGCCGTCCGCAGCGAGGGCAGTATCCTCTGAATGCAGTTTTTAGAGGTAGGCTGCTCCTTCCCATGGAGGTTCCAGTCCTTACTGCCAAAGAGAAGCCCTGCTGGATCTGACCTAGCACTCAGCTCCCTTGGTATCCTGATCTCATTCTCCGAAGGGAGAGCAAAGGGCGCTGCTGGCTGCTGGGGCAAACTGGCGGCTCCCTTAGCCTGCTGTTTTTACGACGGTACGTGGTTAAGCGCAAGATGCTTCTTGGTGTGCCATTGTTTGGTTTTAATGCGCACGTTTTCTCTGCAGCGGGAGCTTTGGGTACAGGGCAGATTGCAAATGTTCTCAGCAGGTTATTACAATAAACAGAGACCTGCCGAGTGCCTTGGGGGAGCCCAAAGGGGGGGGGGGAGAGAGAGAGAGAGAGAGAGAGAGGGAGGGAGAATGAGAGAAGCGGGGAAAGAAAGGAACTCACTTGCTGAAAGTTGAGCTGGAGTGCTTCCGACTGTTTTTGGGGCTTGATGGACAGGATGCAGTCACCTGACATAGAGAGAAAATAGAAAATAGACCTTTTTCATTAAGAATGTAAGAAGGGCGCCGTTGCTGGATCAGGCCAAAGGGGGCCCACCCAGTCCAGCCTCCTGTTCCCACAGTGCTCAAAAACGCCTCTGGTAACCTAGGAATCTAGATAGACTGCCTCCAGTGGCAGGGAGTTCCACTGTTTAGCTACGCGCTTTGGGAAGAAGTCCTTCTTTTCGCCTGCCCTGGATCTGCCAACATTCAGGGTTGCGTCCAACGCTCGTCCGACGCGGATCAGACCCGCTGCGATTAAAAGACAGGGCTAACTTAAGCCTGTCCCTACAAGCCTGCATAGAGAAGGAAGCTGACTATGCAAAGTTAAGCAGCCGCCTTTGTTGCTCCGCCCACTTTGGCCTCTGGCCCTGCCCACCAGCGGCATGTGGCCCCTGAACCTTGCCCGGAAGCGGCAAATGGCCCTTGAGCAAAAACAAAAACGAAAAACAGGTTTCTTCGCCCCTGTACCAAATGATCTCACTCTGTACAAAGGCAGCTTCACACGGTCGGAGGAATTACCGTATTTTTCGCTCCATAAGACACACCTGACCATAAGACGCACCCAGTTTTTAGAGGAGGAAAACAGGAAAAAAAATATTCTGAACACAACAGTGGATGTATGATTTTTGTGGTTCATGCTGTGGCCACAGACATGTGATCTGATGGTGAATTTGGGGTGACCCAATGCAAGAATCCTGAGGATCCATGTGGATCTGTGCTTTGTAACCACATTTTTGCACCATTGCAGCCCCAGGAAACAGTGGGTGCGTGATTTTTTTTGGGTGCAGGCTGTAGCCACGGACACGCTATGTGATCTGATGGAGAATTTGGGGTGACCCAATGTAAAAATTCTGAGGATCCATGGGCTTTTACCTACCCCCTCCCAGGCAGCCTCCTTTATCTCTAGCGTTCCTTATCTCTCTCCCCGATCGGCAAATGATCAGCGGCTTTGTTTCAACAACAAAAAAAGCATGATCTGTTTTTCGCCCCTGGGCAATTTGGCTTCAGGGACCACGCATTTGCACCATAAGACGCACAGACATTTCCCCTTACTTTTTAGAAAGAAAAAAGTGCGTCTTATGGAGTGAAAAATACGGTAGGTGGCCCTTTGTCTGGTACCCAGAACCCCCCTCCAAAAAAACACAACCCCAGCCCTCAGGAAATGTGAAAACGATGGCGGCCGCATCCTGACGCTTACCAAGGTGAGCCATCAGCTCGTCGGAAGTGATCACCTCCTTCTGGGGAGGCAGTTTCACCTGGAAAGGGAGGAAGAGAGAAAAAGAGAGAGAGGCGATTTGGGAGAATAAAGGACATTTGGTCAGGAGGACCAGTCTGTCTTGCCCTCTCCTCCCTCCAAATGCCTGCATTCGGGGGTATATACCAAGAAAAAAGCACACCAAGAACTCAGGCCAATGTAAGTTTCAGTAGCGGGAGTGGTCCCTACTGGCAAATCAATACTCAGTTGTAACAAAAACTAATCCATTCAAAAGTGTGTATTCTGACAAGGATTGCAAACTCAAATAGAGATTACAAACTCAAATTCATAAGGATATGTAGTAATAATAATAATAACAATAATAATAATTTTTTATTTATACCCCGCCCATCTGGCTGGGTTTCCCCAGCCACTCTGGGAGGCTCCCAATCGAGTGTTAAAAACAATACAGCGTTAAATATTAAAAACATCCCTGAACAGGGCTGCCTTCAGATGTCTTTTAAAAATAAGATAGCTGCTTATTTCCTTCACATCTGAAGGGAGGGCGTTCCACAGGGTGGGCGCCACTACTGAGAAGTCCCTGTGTCTGCTTCCCTGTAGCTTCACTTCTCACAGTGAGGGAACCGCCAGAAGGCCCTCGGCACTGGATCTCAGTGTCAGGGCTGAACAATGGGGGTGGAGACACTCCTTCAGGTATACTGGGCCGAGGCCGTTTAGGGCTTTAAAGGTCAGCACCAACACTTTGAATTGTGCTCGGAAACGTACTGGGAGCCAATGCAGACCTCTCAGGACCGGTGTTATGCGGTCTCAGTGGCCGCTCCCAGTCACCAGTCTAGCTGCCACATTCTGGATTAATTGCAGTTTCAAGGTCACCTTCGAAGGTAGCCCCACGTAGAGCGCATTGCAGTAGTCCAGCGGGAGATAACCAGAGCATGCACCACTCTGGCGAGACAGTCAGGTAGGGTCTCATCCTGCGTACCAGGTGGAGCTGGTAGACAGCTGCCCTGGACACAGAATTAACCTGCACCTCCATGGACAGCTATGAGTCCAAAATGACTCCCAGGCTGTGCACCTGGTCCTTCAGGGGCACAGGTACCCCATTCAGGACCAGGGAGTCCCCCACATCCCCCCCGCCCCATCCCCCAAAACCGTACTTCTGTTTTGTCAGGATTCAACCTCAATATGTTAGCCACCATCCATCCCCCAACCGCCTCCAGGCACTCACACAGGACCCTTCACCGAACACAATAATTTGTTACAGAATTAGAGATAAGAGTTTATGCCTTCGGGGGTAGACTGCCCCTGACCCTGGAAGCTCTACTCACCTTCCACTGCAAGAAAAGGATGTTCATGATCGCCAGCAGCGGGCAGGGCCCGTTCTCGCTTTGCGTGATGACGGGCGTCCTCTCCCCTTTCCAGCTGATCCATTTGACGCAGTAGAAGTCAGGGGGCTGGGGGTGGCTGGCGGGAGAAGACCGGGGCTCGGGGGCCGCCTCCCCGGCTTGCTCAGCGGCGGCGGGGGGCGCATCAGCCGGGTCAGAGACACTTGGCAGAGAGGCAGCGCCCGCCAGCAGTTCCTCCTCTCCCAGACGCTCTTTGGAATCCAGCTTTCCGGCCTCCGCAGACTCCAGAGATTCGGGTTCCGGCCCTTCGCCTCCCTTCCCGGCCCCCGGGGGGGTTTCCTCGCAGGCCGGGGCCCTTGGTGCCTCCTCCTGGTCTTGCCCGTTTGCGGCGGGCACCTTGCCACACATGGCACCAACGTCCTCTACGTCTTGCTCCTCCGGGGAGGCCTCGGTGGTTTGGGGTTCGGCTGGCACATTCTCCCCCTTCGCTGATGGTTCTGTGGATAATTCGGGCTCCATTTGGCGCTGCCCCTACTGCCGCCTTCCTTATAAAAACCCAAGCATCCACCGCGGACGAGCCAACGGGCTGGCTGTCGGATCGAGTCCTAAATGACAGGCTTCCTTCTCGCTTTCTGCTGAAGTTTGAATGTGCTTTCCGATTCTGCCTCTCAAGAGGAAAACGGATTCGGGCGTTTGGCAGGAGAAACTCACCTCTCTCCCTCTCCCGGGATCAATAAACGATTCGCAAACTTCTAGTCGCCTCGACAAAATGCAACGTTTGCTAGGTACAATTCCTCTGCCCTCGCTCGCCGCCTTGCCTTCTACACCCAAGTGGTAGAAAACATTAACACTTTTCAAAAAAGCAGGTGGGGAAAGATTCCTATTTCAATTTATCCTCTGTTTCCCAATTTATCCTCGCTCGACGTCGCCTTTCCCCTTTTTCAAAAGCTACCGTAAAAGACCTTAAAAGTGGGGGACGACGGCAATTTGGGGTCTGCTGTTTTCGGGGGCTGTCAGGCACTGCTGAGAAAACGCGAGGCGGAAATAAAAATGAGAATAGAAACCGATGTTTTTTTTCCCCAGGCTGGTTTTTCCCTTGCGTTTTCTGCTTCTCGTGGGGGCCACAGAGAAATCAATTCCGCCACCTCTTCTCCAGCTCGGCTTTAAAAATTTAATTATTTAACACCCAGGAAACCCAATCGCCGGCCGCCTCTCAATCTCTCCGCTTCTAGATCCGCAAAGGATTGTTATCTTTCAAGATCCTTTTTTTAAAAAAGAAAAAAAGAAAAATCTCCCTTTTTTTGTACAAAAAAAAATCTTTTTAAAAAAGCAAAGAAACCCACGCCTATATATATATATGAAATTAAAAGAAGTAAATTTCCATAAACTGGTTAAAAATAGGATTAAAATGCAAAGATTTTGCTGCACAAACGGTTTGGTTTTTTCCTTTTAAAAAAAGTTATTTTTTTTAAAAAAAAGCAAAGACAGATGTAGAAGACGAAGGTTATTTGGGTGTGTTGTTATTCGCTTTCCTAAAGTGTCGGGCGGACTCTGCCCCACCGGCTCCAAACCTTCGCCCTCCTTTCGTTGTCCTTGAGGTTGGGCAACGGCAAACAGAGGCAGCCAGTCCCCTATCTTATTTTCATCTGCTCTGCTCTGAGGCATCCCAGCATATTGGCTTTCTCTCCTCGCCGCCAACCACAACTCACGCGCTGCTCAGCCTCTAGAGCGAGTTTGGCGGGTTGTTGACAGCTTGCCTTTGCAGAGAGCGGCTCAGCCGGAGGGGTTTCAAATCAGCCGGGTGGCAGGATCCTGGCAATAAAAAAAGATGGGGCAGGTAAGAGGGTGGTAAGAGAAACACCTGGATTTTTCCACCTGGACACACCTTCACCTCGCTTCCACGGAAGAATTTCATTTAAAAGCCATGTATGTTTTCACCTCCAAGGACTGATATTGGGGTGGGGCTTTTCCAGACCAAGCAAGGGCGGAATTCCCTTCCAGGCAGGCTTTCAGGGGCCGCATGCTGGGGCGGGCGGGGCCACAGGTAAAAGTGGGTGGAGCTATGAGTACCTTTGCACAGTAGGCTGGCTTCCATACATAATCTCTCTCTCTCTCTCCTCCATCCAAACATGTAAAAGGCATGATCAGGGTGGAATGACGTATTTACGGCAGGAGAAAGCACTCTGGGAGGGTGCAAAGCGAGGCAGGCGAGGGGTGTGCCCCCGGGGGCCACAGGGAGAGGTCCCAAGGGCCATATTACACTCCGTGGCCCCACCACCCTCAGCTGGAAGCGTTCTTTCCTCTCCCGATTGGACAGAACCCTATTTCCTTTCTGGCCCATAAATGGAAAGCACAGAATGGCTCCCCCCAAAGAATCCTGGGAACTGGAGCTTGATGAGGTTGGAAACTACACTTCCCAGGATTCCTTAGGGGAAGTCACGTGCTTCAAATGGGAGATGAATGGACTTTAAATGCATGGATCTGCTATAGCTCTCTGTCTTTTTAGATGAAAGCCGGGGATCTGGGTAAATTGGGGAGGGCAGAGCCAGCTGCTCCCCTCTCCCCACGCGACCCGATCAGGGAGGGGAATGGCCAGCCGTCAGTCAGCTGAACACTCAGTTGCCGTGGTTGTTGCATAGCTTTGGGGTGGTTGTTGTGGGGTGTTTTCGCAAGAGGGAAGCTGTCAAGCCGGTCCTAGGGGTGGGGTTGGGGGTGGGGAAACAGCTTAGCTCTGCAGCCTGGTTGGATCCAGGCAACGGCTGGGACCTGGGTTTCAAACAACCCAGGAGGGAGGGGAAGGGGAGAGCAGGATCGGTGCAAATCCACCTTCAGCTGGAGGTGCAACATATAACTCTCCACCCCACCCAGTTCCCTCAAAATTTATTCATTTTAACCCCCACCCTTTAGCTGAGCGGCTTACAAAGATTGGTAGCAAGACACGGCACACAAGGAAAAAGGGAGGAGGAGGGAGGAGGAAAGAAGAAGCAGCAAGCTAACCTTGGTTACCTATGGGCTGCACACTCTCCTCACTCCTTCAACGTTTCTATTCTGAATATTATTGTTGTTCTTTTTACTTTAGCCACTTTACATTTTGTAGCGCTTTAATTGTATATTGTTTCATTAGTTACGCTTTGCAGGCTCCTTTGGGAGCAAACAAAGGATAGAAATCAAATAAACAGATAAATACATTTCTAGGGCTAAATGGCAGTGCAGTGAAATGGTTAGTGTTAGGCTAGGACTAGGTTGCCCCGGGTTCGAATCCAATGGGGACTGGACCTTGGACCTTCTGTGTGCAAAGCAGATGCTTTCACCACTGAGCCACAGCCCTCCCCTTAAAAATAAAGCAGGACTCTAGTCCTCATGATTCTGAAAACACAATTCTGTTGCAGGGGCCTCTCCCAACCCCACCTGGGGATGCCATTGGGGGCTGGACTTCCCGAATGCAGTGCATGTTCTCTATCTCTGACGCAGGGCTCCCTAAGAATCGGTCCAGTATACCTGAATGAGCCTCGGTCCAGTATACCTGAAGGAGCGTCTCCACACCCATCATTCTGCCCAGAACACTGAGGTCCAGCTCCGAGGGCCTTCTGGTGGTTCCCTCCCTGCGAGAAGCAAAGCTACAGGGAACCAGGCAGAGGGCCTTCTTGGTAGTGGCGCCCTCCCTGTGGAACGCCCTCCCACCAGATGCCAAACAGAAAAACAACTACCAGACTTTTAGAAGACATCTGAAGGCAGCCCTGTTTAGGGAAGCTTTTAATGTTTAATAGGTTATTGTATTTTAATATTCTGTTGGAAGCTGCCCAGAGTGGCTGGGGAAACCCAGCCAGATGGGCGGGGTATAAATTATTATTATTATTATGAGTAACCTTAAGATTCTAGTCCTCATGATTCCGAATAAAGAGCCGGCTGAATAGGAACACAGGGAAGCTTCCTTATTACCAAGCCAGCAATTGCTCCATTTAGTTCAGTGTTGTCTACACTGACTGGTAGCAGCTTTCCGGAGTTTGAGAGAGGCGGGACTCTCTCAGGCCCACCAGAAATTAACCCAGGACTTTCTGAATGCAAAGCACTGCCCACCGAGCCAGTTAGACGGCTTAACAAATTAAATACTGTAAATGGAAATAATCTTAAGGCCAAGGAGTGTGTGCTAACAGCCGGTTAAAGAGTCTGGGGCTGTGTAAGCCAAACCTGCCAGTCTGGACACACCCATCTTGCAAAGGAACTCGCACCCAGGACCGGGATGGGTGGGGTGGGGTGTCTTTGTGTGTCGTAGCACCGGGTCGAGTCCTGTCTGCCTTCTTCTTCTTACCCAACCAGGACAGCCGGCCAGGGTCCAAGACAAGGGGGGAAAGGACGGGGTTTTTTGGGAAGGCTGGCAGAATATTATTAGGGAAAGCTTTGCGAGAAAAAGTGACGGGTGCAGAAGGCGAGAAATTGGGGCTGTGGGTCAAGGGGGGACTGGCTGCTTCTCCGCTCCTGGATCCTAATGTAAACACCCCCTGATCCGAATCAAGGAGATCCAAATGCAGGAGGCGAAATGTGGAGCGACAAGGGAATCTTTCCTCACCTTTCCTTTGGCTTTCATCCCAAGGCCTCTCTCTCTGCAAATCTTCCTCCGTTTTGGATCCTTCCGAAGTTTCTCCCTCTCCTCTTCCTTCCCTTCTTTTTTCTCTCCCCAAATCGGAAGACGAGAGGAGACCTGGCGGAGAAAAAGGAGAGTCACTTTGCACCGGCTTGTTTACCTTCTCGCCCTCCCCACAGAGACATCTATTGGGGCGGAGGTTTTACAGCACTGGAGGGGTCTTGTGCAATGGGTCCGGAAAAGGGAGAGGAATTAGGGTCAAATAACAAAAGGGCAGTGTTTTCCAAAGCTGCTGACAGCTTTTTTTTTTTTTTAAGGTCTGATAGCGGGTGACGCTGTGGGTTAAACCACAGAGCCTAGGACTTGCTGATCAGAAGGTTGGCGGTTCGAATCCCCGCCACGGGGTGAGCTCCCATTGCTCGGTCCCTGCTCCTGCCAACCTAGCAGTTCGAAAGCACGTCAAAGTGCAAGTAGATAAATTGGTACCGCTCCGGCGGGAAGGTAAACGGCGTTTCTGTGCGCTGCTCTGGTTCGCCAGAATTGGCTTAGTCCTGCTGGCCACATGACCCGGAAGCTGTACGCCGGCTCCCTCGGCCAATAAAGCAAGATGAGCGCCGCAACCCCAGAGTCGGCCACGACTGGGCCTAATGCTCAGGGGTCCCTTTACCTTTTTAGCGCTTATTTTCCGAATTAAAATGGGAGGCGTTACTTTGCTCTCACGAAGGGGAGACTGCAAGGGGAGAGAAAGGTTTGCTTTTGGAGGCGTGAATCTGATCGGAAGGAGGCAGTGACTCATTCAGAAGGGCAACAGGGAAATTCCTCCTGCGATCCCACAGCAATTGAATCGAGCTGCACAGACCACGAGGACTCATTCTCCCATGGGAGGCTGGATGGAAAGAAGGAAAGAGGCAGAGACACACACAGAGAGGGGCGACAGGCACCCTCCTTGAAGACTTGTACGCTCTGAAGGAATTACTGGACAAATTTTGCCCCATAAAGCGGCATGGTCACAATGACTCACTTCCGGAGCAGACTGCTTGGGTAAACATCATGCAGAGGCACAACGGACGAACTCCCCATCTGTGTATGCGCTTAAGATCTCTTGCCCAAGGAATTTCTTTCTATCTTTCTCACACCTCACATGGGTCAGAAGCTTGCTGAGATAGGGGAAAGCTCTACCCCATGTCAAATACTCTTTTTAGAGGTTTGTTTCCAAATTGTGTCACATCTGAAAAACATATTGTGGGGGGAAACATTTTTTTGAAAGGATGAGATGCCAGAAAGATTACTGTAATTCGGTACCTGCTGCCTTCCCCGTCGTCCTTCCTTTTTCTCGTTACAAAATATTACCCACCCACTCTCTGGGCAAAGAGATACTACTGTTTGTGGAAATTTGAAAGCCCTTCTGTTCTAGAATCCAAAAGGCCAGCTCTGAAGGAGGGTGTTTGGAGTCTTAAAGGGGCAGAGCTGGAAGTTCGGGGCAGCCCAGACTTATTTATGTTTATTCAGAGGCTAGTGCCATTGCCTTCAGAATATATGCTGCTGGATTTGCAGCCTCATGTAGGCACTGAAATATACATACAGGGAAATCCCATTGAGTTCAATGGGATTTTTCTCTCCAGTAAACCACATTTCCTGACACCCAGGTACTTCTCAGTGGACTTTACTTCAGGGTAAATGCACACAGGAGTGCACTGGAAGGACTTCTTGCATTTACCAACATTTATTTCCTGCCTGTCCTCCAGACATGGTTCTC